TTGCGCTTAATATTGTACTTACTTTAGTATTTATTTATTGAGATTCGAGGAGATTTTTCAATCAGTTTTAAATAAGTTTTAATATTTGTTATAAATACCTTAATAAGACACAATTATTTTAAAATTTAATGTAGAAATGTAGAAATATTTACTAGATAATTATTAATGAATCAGTAAAATTAATTGCAGTTTATTATATTTTTTTTATTTAAGATTATAAAATTTAATTAACCATGAGTACCTACAATATTAATAATTAATGGCTTAATTGTTTAGAATTATATTAATAGGTACAATTTTAAATCCATAGGATATAATATTGTGTATATTCAATATTAAGAATTATTTTATGAGCAGCAAGATAACTAAGTTAGTTAAATGGGTTGAATGGTTTATTAGTGTACCAATAATTTGTATGCTATTTATTTTCTTCGGTATATTTTATCACCCCCCCCCTCCCAAAAAAAAAAAATATATCGATGATTCGATAGGTAGGATAGCATAAATTAAAATAACAAAAATTGGTTTTACAATCATGTTGAACAAGCCTATTAAATACTATCAATATTAATACTTTCAAAACTGTTTATCAGATATACAAATTTGAAGTTTGTTTTCTATAACGAAGGAAATAATATTAAAATATTACTACAAGACGAGATTAATACAATTATAGATTTGAGTAGAAATGATAACATATTCTTGTAGTTTGCAACAACATTAATTAATAAATAATATTAATTTCAAACATTTATACTTAAGCAATGAAATTAAAATTAAAAAAAATACGGTTGTTACACACAATTTTGTCTTTGGATATTTACTAAGGTTTGTATTGAAATTTCAAACTATATTATACATACGCCATGTTCTGTTAAACACTGATTCAAAAATAAGAAGTCAATAAAATATTATTTTGGAATTTTTAATAAAATGTTTCTTTCAAAGAGTGTAATAAAACTACCATTGTTAATCATAAAAATAATAACAATAAAACAAAAAAAACAATAAATTTTACAAAAACCCGTGGATGACATAGATTTTTCTCAGAGTTCAGTTAGAACAAGTTTATTTATTAGGTATATTAGTTATAAATTGTAATACTATTATAGTATTATATAAGTTACGTATTGTATTTAATTTAATTTAATTTGTATATGTTTTGGCGCTTAGTCAAATATTATATAACTTATTATGTTGTAGTGTTTGTATTTAACATAGTTTTTTGCATTTCTAATGCACACTTAAACTCTTACGAAAACCAATTAAACCTCTATTGTAAAACAATAAGAACCAAGTTAAATTATATTGAATAAATTTAATATTATAATTCTACACATACATATACATACTACATAGTAAATACTTAGTTCAACCACCGTAAAAATCTCCGATACGAAAATAAACAATCAACAGTTATAATGAGACACATAAGAATTGAATAATATTATTTTTAAAACAATTCATATTCGGGTATAAATATTTGGTTGTTATTTCAAATTCGTCGAAAAATAGGTAGATAATATAATATTGTATTACCATTATAAATATTATATTATGGTTCATACTATATCACTTTATTATAGTCATACTAAGTCATTCTCGCATAATACATTTATTTTTAATTTGATTATAATTAGTTAATTTATTACATTTTAAATCTTGATATCATGGATGATTGACATCTCACAGTTAACACGTTCATTACCTAGCTGAAAACATTGAGGAAATACTTTATACGGTAATCTAGATAATAAATAATAATGTATACATTTAAAAAAAAAAAAAAAAATGAATTGATTGATTATTTTTATTCAAAACTATCATAAATATTTAACTACATTTGTAAATTTAACCTGTAAATACTCATCACTATAAATTTTAATTTATTTTAGCTGAGCCGACTACCTAGTTGAAATGATTTAAAATATAGGTAATACAAATTGATAATATAAATTATATTTGAAAATACAATAATGTTCCTACAACCACACATTATAGGTCCTAACACAATAACAATTTAGATTAGTCAACCGAAACCACAGCATCTAAGAAAAAGTGAAGGAGTGTTATACCTAATATCTCGACAATATTTATAGGTAATTTTATAGCTAAAACACAAAGAACTGTATTTTGTAGCTTTGTACTGTACCGAAAATAAAATAAAAAAGTAACCGGGAAAATAACCAAATAACTCAAACGGACAGTTGAAGACCCATTTTTCGATTAACCACATAATAACCACAAAACTGATGATAAAATAAAAAATGTTTAAATACCTTTTGTACAGGTTAGGATTGCATTTACACAAAATACTAAAATTTAAATTTCTTAAAATATTAGATAAATTAATAAGTTTAATATCAACACTTATTTCAACTATAAAGTAGTTTATTCAAACTTTATTTTTTTTAAAACTAACCATTCTTAAACTAAATATTGATAGTTTTTAATTAACCCAATATAATTAAAAAGTACTGATACAATTATAAAAATATTTTTTTAACTTGAAAAAATTATAATAAATGATAAACTTATTTTTTATTTCCATGCGCTGTATAATGTTTTTAATTATGTTTTGAAGTAATTGAACAAATTATAAAACAACGAGTTTGAATTAGGTATTTTTATATAAATTGAATTGGATATTATATATAATATATTGAAAATAATTTTGTATTTGACGCCGAAAACACGATAATTAAGTAAAATAACAGTTTTATATTCCTACATTGTATAAAAGAAGTATTCATACAGACTTATTATAACTTAAAGAGAAACCGTTAATATATTGAATACAGGTATATTGAAAGAAATAATTGTATAAAACTTGTTTCAAAGAAACATATTTTTAAAAATGTTGTTTCCAAATAAAAGCTTGTAATGTTATATTTTTATCGAAAAATTGTTTTGTTCCCTTTTAACGAGACAGCGCGTAGGATCTATTCATATTTTCCATGAATATTTTGTCCACATTATATTCAATTTCAATACAAGTTCTTCATTAGAAACAGAGTTTGGATTAAATATATTATATTAAAATGTATTCACAAAATTACCACACACATGAATAGATATATAAATATAAAATATATACATTACAATTTATTTTCCGATACATAGAGATCATACAACTAGAGGTTAGGTTACGCAAATTTTAACGAATCTTATTGTGCACGTAGAAAATAAGAAGATGTGTATGTGTAACACAAATAGGATATTTCATTTGGTTGAACTATTTAGGTAAAAATATTAAACTTCAAATCGTATAAGATAGCAAATATTTTTATTGGATTAATCATTGTTGGCTCACAATGTTATTATAGATTACTTTTCGTTTACATAAAATATTAAAAATAATTAAATTCCAAACGAAAAAACATAAACGTACTAGTAGGATATTTTGTTCCTTATTTGTCGATTAAAAATGTTCAGAATTACTTGCTATATTTTATAAAAGCTTTTTCACGTTTACACAACTTAAGTAGGTACATATTAGTATTGTATAAGAACAATAAATAAATAAAATAAAATAAAAGTAAATACCTATACCTATATAATTTTATTGTGTACAAACACGTTACCAATTTATTATACTAATTAAATTGTTTGAACTTAAATATTCAAACAAATTGTTTAAAGTGTCATCATGCAGACATATTTAATTGTATTTATAAACACAATTTAAAATTGATTTAAATTATCTCTTCAAGGGTTGTATACGGGTAGTTATACGCAGTATTCAAAAAACAAAGGATCGTCTAATTAAACATAAAATAATAGATCATAACAACGAATATGATTCCGGACTAGTTTATATTTAATATTGCAAGATGATAATTTTATTCATATTATTTAAATAAATAGTTTAAGGTCGTAAAAATGTATTTTCAACCTTGTTAATATACATACAAATGTTATGATGACTATAAAATGTTTCAATAAGGGTACAAATACATACAAGTTGTGTTTAAGTTCTGTGCTGATTAAAATGTATAATGTCTGACGAATGATTTTAGAATGAATTCCATATTATAGAAGAATGGCTAATTTTGTTTTTTATTTTCAAAACTCAACTAAGAATGCGACATTTATTTATTAAATAAGAAATATTTTAATTTAGTGGACATGCAGAAAGTTAAATTTAGTTTATAAGTAATGAATACAATTATACACAACAAAACCCGGATTTATTACTTCAATAACATTTTTTATAATATTATTATAAACACTTTTTTAAAAAATATTGCACAAATTATACGAGCACTTTGAAAAGTGCAACGTGAAAGTCAATTATAGGTATTGGTTAACACAATATTTCTGGACGTATATATTGCGCGGAAATCAATTTGCACATCCGACGACTCACCTATACATTAAAGAATAATGAATATAATATATCAACCACAGTACAATTTTGAAAGTCGATCGAGCCTATATTAATGAGTACCTATTGACTGAAAATACCTAAAAACTTCTGAATGAAACGTGTACGATAACCATACAACTGATGCAAATAATAGGTATATTTGTGAATTGCTGTGGTCTTTTTCGATCACACAAAATAATTACTATCAAACAATAAACTCGAAAATTAGTTGCAACAAATCGAACTAGATATAGAGATGTGATTAATCGGCACATTGACAACATATTACAAAATAAGCAATAAATACATTGAATATAAATCAAACCACTTCTAACAAGATACAAGTCCAAAAAACCTCCCCGTCAGTAGAAACAAAAAAAAATGGTAAGTAACTATTATACAATGTATTGTATTATTAATTCTATTCAATCGCTGAGCGTCGAATATTATGTTAATATAATAATTATATTATATAAGCCAAAGAAGATCAAGGTGGTATTGGGAGCAATGTTGTGTTACGGAGTGGCCGGTTTGTACGAGAATCTTGCGTACATTTACATTTAAACAACAAAGTAGGTGGCGGATGACAACAAATTTCGCAAAACTTAATATTATTTATTATTATTATTACTTGGTTCCGGTGGGCTTATCGACGGTCTGCTGCAAGTCCAGGTATTTGTAGTGATCGGTGTAAGTATTATTGTTGTTGTTGTTGTTGTTGTAATAGTTGTTGTTGTTGTAGTTTTGGAAAGTTTGGGTCGGCGGCTGTGTGGTCAACGGCACTAGAGCGTCGTTAAGGCCGACTGCCGGGGGATGGTTATTTTCGTATGTTGTAAAATTATAATATTGGTCGTGCGACTGCGGCTGAAATTCGGTCACCGACGGATGAGTGGGAACGCCGTGACAGTCGTACGACAGCTGATTAGGCGAGTATCCGGGACCATACGACATGGGCGACATGGACGAAGAGGATGACATGGGCGACGACTGCGACGACGACATGGACCGGTAACCGTTGTCCAGCGGCGTGATCGGAGACGACGAAATCGCGGCGCACATGTTTGCGTGATCGAGGTGCTGCATCGACGAGTCGCGGAGTTGGTGGTACGACAGCGGCAGGTCTCTATGGTGCTGCTTCTGAATAGGTGGCGCGTATGGGTTACGATGACGGTCTATAGCCGGCGCGAAACCGGTTACGCCGTGCGGCATAGGCGTGCAGCCCGCGTACATGAACGACGGTACGATCGTGGAATCGTCGCAACAACCGCCCGGGAACATGACGCCGCGGTAAAAATCGTTCTTGTACCGATGCGCCAGTTTTTGGATCTTTCAAATTGTATATTATAAATGACAATTATCCTTCGACGAGGACGAAACCGAAAAAAAAAAAAAAAACGAACCAAAACCGAAAACACAATATTATACGATGTCGATAATTACGATAACCTGAAGCGGTGAGAGACTTGCGAACAAAACGGTCAGGACACGTCTAATAATAATAATAATAATAGTAGTAGTATCACCGGCGGTGGTTAACGGGAGAGCGCCGTAACGGCGGCGGCGGCGGCACGAGCGTCAAAAACCCTAACCGCACTCAACTCGGAATCGCGTGTACAGCACATGTTGCTTCCGTCTCGGCGACTACTTCTGGCGGCCGTGGCGAATCGCTCGACATTGACACATTGAAGTAAGGGAAAAAATCGCGGGCGGGCGGGCAGGCGGACCGCCTCCGCTGGTGGGTCGTCCCGCCGCGTATGCGCGCGCGGTCAAGTCCTGCAGTGCAGCCGGGCCTGCGCACGGTAACACCGCGGGCAGCGAGCATGCGCGCGCGCTCGCTCAGTCGGTCTCCCGCGGCGGCAACACTGCACCGGCCACTTGGCGGTGCTCTGGGTGCGCGTGACGCGGCGTTTTGTGCATCGCGCGCGGCGCGCCCGCAACAAGACGGGTACGCCGCCGTTGCACCGCCGCGCCGCCGACGGTAACTATGCAATTCTCGTGACCCGAGGTCAGGGTCTGCGTCGACCCAGGAGAAGAATACACCGGTCGCGATACTGACCCATATCATATAAATATAATATACTATATAATAATATTATGAAATATATTATGGTTTTTGACTTGTTAATTAATATTATAATTTGTACTCGGTTATTGAGTGCTCATATTACTTAATTTTAATACGTTAGACAACTTATCAAGCCAAATTTATATAATAAAGTACATGTTTTGGGAAGGGGGAGGTTTCGATTTTTGACCCAGATGACCAATAACCTGTACGGTTAAAGACACTTATTAGTTGTTAATTTATTCGGAAATATTATTCCGGGGAAGCGGTATATTGTACTAGGTGCATAATGCTGTTTTCAAAACATTTGTAATAGTTTTAAGCTATTGCCCATTTTTACCCCGAAACTATTCACTGTTTTATATTTCTATGGTAGGTGGTATTGACTCGAAAGTTAAAAATAATAATACATTATAATATAAATGTATTCAATATAGGTATTATAATAATTAAATATTAATAATATGCATACCAAATGCGATGTTTTCAGCAAAAATTAAAACAAATAACCGTCATACTTAAAGTAAGATAAACTTGGAAGGAGTGGCCGAGCGGTCTAAAGCGTCGGTTGCGACGCAGCCGGCGCTGGTTCGATTCCTTGGTCACGGGCGACATTTTTCTTCGGGCAAGTCATGGTGTCCGAAGAATAAGTGCCGCCATCTCAAACCCGGGCATGGCAGATACCTACGGGTACCCAGTCAAAAATTCTACCAACACAAACACTCACGTGTAAAAACCCACCACCTAACCTAACCTTTCTTATAATGTTCCATATTAATACATTTTTTTTCACCGCGAAAATACGAATTGTATGTAAAAAAAATATAGTCTATGTGTTCAAATCTAAGGTTTTATATTTCAGACAACTGGACATTAAGTTATATACTACTTCCTTACCTTGGTGGATTTGAGCATACAGTCCCTTCTACACTATATGGGGATGAAGTAGACTTTTTATCGTCTGTTCCTTGCTCTCGATCTTCTTCTTCGGCATCGCCGCAATCATCAACACGAGAAGAATTGCTATTGTCCTCCATGACTGCTATACCTAGAGAATATTCAATTAATAGTATAAGTCAAATTTTGGTTCGTTAATCTTATTTCGTAATAAACGATAAATTGATAAACAATACCGAGCAAGGTTACGCATGTATCTTAGTGTCTACATTCTATAGTTAAAATAGTTTAACAATGTAATGTCTTACATGCTATTTGTATATTTTAATGATATTGTTTAAGCAATAATTTCATGAAATAATTTGTAAGTATAAAATAAATCTGTCGTTGAAAACGTACACAAAATAAATTCCTTAGCTAATATACTTTTAAATAAAAACTTTACTAGTTACTACAAATATAAACAATCAGAATAGTATACATATACATATAAACAAACTTTGTATTGTTAGTAATTAATATGTGTATATTGGTATATTTAATACGCGCTGAACCAAAAATAAATCAAAAATAAAGTATTTAAAACGACCTGATTCATTTCATATTTTATTTTAAATGCGATTCGCGGTATAATGGAATACAAAAATATACTTTTAAGATAGTTTCTCAGACATTTTAATTTCATTATATACCATAAGAAATAAGACAAAATACCTAATAGTTAGTAATATTGTAGCCATGTACAATATTGTACTCATGTAATTCATACTCAAGTAAAAAAGTATGCAACTTCAAAAAAAAATGGAAATGATTAATCACCATGACAAGTTATACGTGGTTTGGATAATTATTGATTATATTGATGAATGAGAATCGTCTTTTTTTATATTTATACAGTTAAAATTCACACAAACACGTTTATACCTACTTTGTAGTAAAAATGACTAAAAAACAAACAGATCATGAAGATGATTTAAGTTACAATTATTTAATGGTAAAAGAAGAAAATATAAAATTAAGATTTAATATTTTAATCAAAGATAAGTTTTTATTATTTTCGATCATAATATGTTAAATATATTTCACAAAGCATAATTTATAAATGTATAAAGAAACAAATCATAATAATATAAATTGATTTACAGAAGTAATTTACTGATTGTTAATTGTGGAAATGTAAAGAACAATTATCAACTTTGTATTTACTACACGTGTGCATACACGATACTCAAATATTAATATTCTATATAGCTAACCTATTACGACTGTCCTTCTTATAGGATTACTTACCTACTAACAATTTAGATAATATGTATAGAATTAAATTGATTTAAAACACTGTATTACAATACTATTATATATTCTAAAAAAACATTTTATTGCAGAGGATACAATTAAAAAAGCTGAAAATATATATTATAAAAGGGCCAAGAGGTAATTATAAGAAATACAATTTTACGTTATCCATCATTAAATAGTATTTGTATAGTATTTTAAAATTAGATAATATTATGTAGGTAGCGACTTAAGTTTATGATTAAGTTAAATTAATGAAACCTTTCTTAAAACTGTTATACTTAAATTACAAATAAATGTACGTATTTTACAGAGTTAGAAGTTACATAACTAATTTATATTACTGTTAGGTATAATATAATAACTTTGGAAATACTAAAGCAGGAAAAAACCTAAGTATTATAATGCGTATGATTTTTATTATATTTATCATTTAATTTTGTGGATAACTAGACACCAAGATAATATAAAATTATTCCGTAACCAGAAAATACAGCTCAATTTGTATTCTTTCATTTTTATAAAATTAAAGAAACAAGGAAAATAACACAAGATAAACTACTGAGTTTACTAACATAAAATCAAATAAAGCGTTTAATATATTAATAATGTTGTTATAACAACAGTCGAATCGATAATCGAAAATTTTATTAATATTTTCAGTTTTAATGTCTTCACACTACAGCGTACAGAATACTAAGAGACACTTATTCATCACTGTGCTTAGTAATTTTCCTATTAACTAGGCAGCTAAAAATATATTGACCAGTGGCGTATTTGGGGGGGGGGGGGCAACGTACCCGGGGCATGTAAAGGGCTCATAGTCTTCTCGGCTTAAAATTACAATGGGTGGTAATCTATACTTTTTATAGTGCCAACAAGAATATATTATTTTTCTTGTTTGAACTAACAGGCGTTGGGGCCCGTCACCATGTACTGGGCCCTGGGCCCCCCTGAAGGTCTTAATCCGGGCTTGAATTTATCACCAAAATACCAATCTGAAGATATTATACTAAATAAATTATAATTTACACCAAGTTGTCTAACCAGAAATCTCCTTTGAAATTGAATATTTAGCATTATTTCTTCTAGAAAAGGGTCATCGCTCATCAAGCACAAAAGTGGTTAACTTCGTGGTCAATTCAATAGGGTAGAATATAAGCTTGTGTATAGTAATTAATAATTTTAGTGTCACCCCTTCCATAAAACTAAATCAAATACGCCACTGTAGTTGCGTATATAGTGGGTGGGTACAGTGGGCTGCAACTCTCCCCCCCCCCCCGAAATTACCGTTTTTTAAAGATAAAACAACAATATATTTTATTAGGTACTATTATAAGTTATAATAATTCATAGACTGTTGAAAAATAACAAATACGAATATATTTATAGAAACTGTTAAATATATAGTAGACGGTAGCCTCTAAGTAATATATCACTTGCTAGTTTCTGTCTACTATAGCCCACCCCAAAAATTATTTCTATACACGCCACTGCGCCACTGATATTGACACATATATAAGATGTACAACGAAGAGGAAGCATATTATTATTATTAAATTATACCTATACATTAGACTAAGTTTCATTAAATTGTGTTAGATTTTATTAGATGGTACAACATAATATAATGGTACCTACTACGAAACTACATTTCAGTTTCTTCGAACAAGTCCAGTTGGGTAAATAAAAGTGAAAAAAAATACTTTTTAAAAAAAGTTCATGAAGTGGTTACTAAGCAGATCAAACAACGTGGACAATATTATGATACTTATAGGAATTTTGCCCCGTGGATCAAAAGCCGTAGCCATTTTCCTCCAAAAATAAGATGATATATTTTAATTTATAGCCTTCCCGTCCAAGAGATTCACTTATGATTATGCGAGCAGTATATTATGAGGTTTGAGGTAGGCAATCTAAACTGTAAATCGGGGACCCCTCGTAGTACGTACATATGTGTATAATTTCACTATAAAGTATCAGAAAATGCTAAAAATTGGGCCACCGAAACAGTGGTTCG